AATGGACAAACGTTCACGTATGCAATTAGTGCGTAAATACGAGGCCCAGAGAAAGAGAGAGAGAGAGAGAGAGAGAGAGAGAGAGAGAGAGAGAGAGAGAGAGAGAGAGAGAGCGACATATTGAGCAATTCGGAAGCCCATCGACGAGAGAAACAAGAAATAAAGGAAACAACTTGCTATCTGTATCTACAAGTGCCTGGCGCCTTGTCCGCGCGTATTCGTGCAAACAATAAGATTGAATCCAAGCATCTTCTGAAATTCTAAAAAGGAATTATAGCGAGCGAGAACTTGAGTAAGTTGGAAAAGAGAGAGAGAGAGTGTGTGTGTATGAGAGAGGAAGAGAGAGTGAATGAGAAAATGTGCACGAAACTATCGCGCCGAAATCATCGTCAGCCGAACATTGATACGTGTCGAGGCGCGGTCGATAATAATTAATTCATTAAGCAATCAAGTAAACCTTAAATGTATAGTATACTTGTTAAGGGGTGAGTTGCGAGTTAAAGGGTGAATGCGAGTTTTTCCTAACGCATCAAGAACATATTTAAGGAATCGACTGGCCGGCGCGCTGAAAGTATAAAGTATAAAGCTGAAGTATAAACTTAATTATATCTGTGTTGGAGGTCTTATTATATATTGAAAAATGCCGGGGAGAAGAAAAGAAGGTTATTAGTTATAGGGATAATAATATATATCTATATACACATTATATATATATACACACGCAGGTATATACAGAGGCACATACAATCGTGTGTACAGGGTGGGGCGATTAAACGACAACACTCGGATTTACATCCGCGTAGCTGTTGAAAACGGTAGAAAATATCTCACGAAAAAGCGACTATACCCGACAATATTCAGTCGGATATTTTCTTCTTTCAGTTCGAGGCTCCTTGGCGTCTTCGTCTGTAGGAAAAAATTTCATCGCGATATGCAGCTCCCTTGAAAACATTGAACTGTTGTTTAAGCAATAAGATCAAGCTATAAATCTGTCGAATCAATTTGCTGAATTATTTTACGTGAATTGTTTCATGTGGGTGTGTGTGCGCGCGCGCGCGTGTGTGTGTGTGTCTGCATGTATGTGTGTATACACACATATTTATAAATATCGGACTTTGAAGTATTTATAACTTCGGAGTATTTATAAATTAACTTTGGATTAATTAACAAAATTCGATAGTGTGTGTGTGTGTGTGTGCGCGCGCGTGTGTGTATGTATGTGTGTCGTTACGTAATTACGGTTTTTCGTTGACACGACGGTCCCGAGATTAGGAATAACGAACTTTCGTGCGAGATCGATGCTATCAAACCATCACTGTTCTTGAGTCGAACAATTGCACAAGCCAAGCACAATGTATGTGTGAATGTTATTTGCACTAAATAATCGATGACAATGTCACGTTGATTGTCAGAAATCTGCGGCGAGATGAGAGGTCGGAAGCAGTCGCGGCACAATCAGATACGCCGTTTAATTCATTTTAATTACAAATTGAACGGCGTCGATGTTGAGATTGAAAAGATAGTATTACAATATCACATTGTGAGATAGTATTATATATCAGGTGCTGGCAAAAAAAGTTCATCAAATTTCATTGACTCATGATGACATCAAAGATAAGCTGTTTTGCGAAAAAGGATGGATAACGATGTCAGATGCTTCGAGGACGATTTCGTTATTATTGATAAGAGAAATGTGAGCGAGAAATTCGACGAGCTTTCGCAAGCACCTAATAACCACGTAACTTTCAAACGGTGTGTGCTGTGACTTCTTTCCAACTGTTGATCGCACTTCCAAAATTGAACCGCATATTGAGTTTCCAAAGTATAATAATCATGCGCAAAACGAGTCAGTTTTATAAAAATTCGCATAAACGATCGGATTAGGAAAGAAGAAAAGAGAAATGAGTGTCGAAATGGAGGAAATCACTTTTTGGACAAACGCTCGCCGACGTGACATGTTGATCGACTAACTTCGATCGATTGATCGATGTCGTTCTCACTTGTAATTGTAATTATCGTTATATCACTTCTACTGCGCTTTATCTTTATTACTTACTGGACGTGTCGTTTCGAAGATCTTTCACGCAGTGTCTCGTCACGCGCGCGTCGTGTCGCGATAAATGAATGTACCCTCCTCGATCGTTCGCACAATAATCGTCTTACATTACGTATTTGGAAAAAAAAAAAATTTCTTGCTCTAAACAACTTCAGCGCTTTCAAGGGAACATGTTCGCGTTCCGGCGAGCCGGGCCGACGATTTCGATGCGGATTTAGAGAAGCGCGGGACAGAATCGCGAAGTCGATCTTTTGCGCGTTTCGGAAATCGGTGTCGTGGAATTTTCGCGCTACGTCGAGTGCTAGCAAAGTTACGATATCGAAAGTGGCTTTCCTTAGCCTCTCCCGACGCAGGGATTCGTATTCTGCCGGTTGATTGTAAGCGACACTTGTGTATCTCGTTCTATTTGTGTATCATTCTACGGGATTAAGGGACGAAAGAAAAACTCTCGCGTAAAGGAGTGAGGAGGAAAGAAGAAAAATCGAGCGTATCAATTCGTGTATATAGTATGTAGCGTTAATTAACGTTCGCTCGCAGCAATCAAAAAGGTCAACGAACACCACCGGGATTCCGGGGTAGAATCTCGAGGAAAGTTGACGTCGCGCGAGCGTCAATAATTTTGCGTCTAGAGTGATCATCTTCAAACGGTATTTCTTATCGATGTTCGTTATCGCACTCCCTCAATGCACAGACGACTCGCGACGATTGAATATCAACGCTCGATATTCTCGATTTGTATATTCCGCCTCTCCGCAAATCTCTCTGTAAGGTGAGGCTCGTTTATTTACTCAAACCAGGGAAAAAGAAAAGCGAGACATTCTGAAAGAGCTGGAGATATCGAAACGAAGTCTTTCATCTCTTTTTTAAACCCTTTGTATTCTTTGAAATTGCATACGTCGTTAAAATCGTCGATAGCACATCGAGAGACCGTCTCATATCGATCGATTAATATCAATCGCTCATGGCGCGCTTCAGAAGCGACGGTCGACGGTGAATGCGAAGGATTTTCCCCGTGAAAACGTATGTATATTTCGATACTCGATCGATCTCTTGCCGATAGGCGCGTGCGTGCGTGCGCGCGCGCGTGTATTTTGGATCGGTCAAAGAAGTTCGGCTCGACTTCTGAGTCTGAAATTTCACTCGATCGCATTCAACGGGAACTAATTGTTGATGGACCGAATGATCGCCGTCGTTGCCTATGTCCTTCGACCAATATACCGGCATATACATGTATATTCGCATACCTTTGTCGCAGACGTGTGGCCGGTACAATAGAGGAATTAATTTTAATTTAACGTTAATTGTAGTTTAATATGAGCGAACCGAACTTTCCGACCGACTCGATGCTGTTCACCGTGTCCGTGAACAGAGAAATAATATCGACACACAAACACGAATCAAGCGAATTCGAATTGCAAATAAGATGTACGATGTATCTAATCACCTTGGACACCAAGCCCGGTTAGCGTTAACGGCGTTCTTTCTCTTTGGCTACGTTATAATCGTAAGCATAATCTAAGGCAAACAGCAAAGTAATTTACACAGCAAAAAGAAATCGTTGATCGGAGTTGATTTTTCACTCTCGGACAATTCTTCCGTTGCGTACCGTCGACGTGATGACTTGCGAACGTTGAAAATGTGAACGAGAAACTGAATTTGATGAACATGAGACTCACCGGTTAACACGGAGCATAACGACAGCATAACAATAACAATACAAATCAGAATAATATAAGTAGAGAGACTTTTGTAAAATATATTGAAGAAAAAAAAAAAGAAAAACGAAAAATCTCGAAGATGTTACGATAACGTTAACTCGTCTTAGTCAATTGGAGTGTATTAATTAATAGCGAGATAATTGAACACAAAATGCAACTTTCAATGTGATTAAAAGGGCAAAAAGAGGGAAAGGAGGGGGAGAAAACATCGATGATAAAATCGACTCACTGGTATGCGCAGAGAAAAGGGGATGTACAATAATCTAATGCAAATAATCCGTAATCTTGGCGCGATATATATGGCAAGATTGCTCAAAGATTCCTCGTGTATAATAATAAAAAAAAAAGATGCAAAGTGCAACGTTTTTCTTAGCAACACTTTCGCTCTCGTTGTATATAAACTGTACGTATATATATGTATATGTATATACATATATATACATGTATACACACATCTCACATCTGCATTAAACAAAATATGATAACAGAGGAAAGTCAGTGAAGACCCCGTCAGTCTCTTGAACATTATGTGTGTCTAATGTAATGCAGCAGCTCCATGTCGACCACACTTAGTGCTTAAATTCGGCGTACGGGTTATCTTTATTTCGATTTTTCGATTAGTTATGTATAGATTTTTTAGACGAAACTAAAAAAAGCAAGAGGAAACAAGCCACATAAGATTTATTATATGAATGTCCTAGATTTAATGAACTCGAAAAATTACATCAAATAAACGTCAAAAAATTTAATATCTGATCTGTTGTGTCTCTCTGTCTCTCTTTCTCTCTCTCTCTCTCTCTCTCTCTCTCTCTCTCTCTCTCTCTCTCTCTCTCTCTCTCTCTCTCTCTCTCTCTCTCTCTCTCTCTCTCTCTCTCTGTACACACAAAATGTATCCCATCTATTTTCCTTTTTCACCGGTCTCGGAAGAACATACCAAACATTCTGTAACTGAATATTGCAAAAAATTAAAAATAGTAGTAAAAAATAAGCCATACGGTGCCACTTGATTTTCTAATTTGTATGAAAATGAAAATATTGTAACGTGAGACCTGCCTTTTTCTAAAACAAGAAAAAATTGTTAGCACCGATGAAATTTCAATTTAGAACTTGTAGATACGATTTTCTTGGAATTTTGGTTATTTTTCATGACAGGAAAGGTCCTTCAGTTCTATATATTTATTTATTTGTAATATTTGCATCTTTGTTAATATTTATAGCTTATTTTTAGGTTACGAATAAACTGTACTGATGAAGTAGAAATTGAAATTTTGCAGGCGCTATCGAGTGAGGTCTACACCTGCTATATTGCACCAGTGTAGAAAGTTCAGTTTAGGCGGTTAAACCTCGTGTTGTTCCACGTGCTGAGACGCGTAAAGTTTAAAAAAAGAATTAATATAAATACTGGTAGTATACGTTGTAGATTTTTGTTCAAGTAAAACTGCAATTTCACAACTCAATTATTTACTTAGATTATTGATATCCGCTATTTGTGACAGCTGTGGATGGTATTGATACAACTTAAATGTAAGCATTTATAACCTCTTTTTACCGGCTTATTTGACAAGTTCTTAATTATTTGAACTTGAGATTTAAAAACTTGTTATGAATCTAATTTATTTGGCGAACCCAAGCATTTATGATTTAATATTGATTACAGATGCGTCAAGATACTGAACCAATGTCCGCTTATGCAATGCAGAAACGTAAAGCAGAGCAATTGTCGAATGTTTCTAAGAAATTAAAGCAGCAACATTTGTCACAAAAAATCGTAGCACCTAATCCAAACCTTGAAGTGAAAAAGAATGGAAAGCAAGTGACAACCAAAAAGAATCAGGTTAATGGTAAATGTACTTTCAACGTTGCTGGGAAATTCAGAAAAAATAATGTCATCAGGAACTTAAGATCTACAAAAAATAAAAAGAAAAATAAAAAAGATTTGGACAAAACTCAACTATCAATAAAAAATACCAAGAAGAAACAATTAAATAATGAAAAGGACTGTAAAAGTAAAATAAATCACCATCATTTTAATCCTATCAAAGAGAGTACAAACATATTTGAGTGGTTGATATATCCCTTTAAAGTAGAAGATTTTCTTATGTAAGTTAAAGACATCAAAAGTAAATGCCCATATTTTGTATTCATATATTATTCATTAATCAAAATTAAATCTTTTTTTTATTTTAATCAGGAATAATTTTGAGAAGCGTCCAGTACATATACAAAGAAACAAACCTTCTTATTACTTAAGCCTTGTGTCAACACCTTTATTGGATGAAATATTGAGGGAAAAGAATGTTCTTTTTACCAAAAATATTGATATTACCTCTTATACCAATGGAGTGAGAGAAACTTACAATCCAACTGGTCGTGCTGTTCCTAATGCTGTTTGGGACTATTATATGAATAAATGTTCTGTGAGAATGTTGAATCCTCAAACGTTTATACACAAAATATACATGTTAAATGGTAAAATCACTATTTAATAATCATTCACTTTTTGGCTGGTTTTTATTAGTCATATGTTGTTACATAATTTTAATGGTGTAATATTTTTCTCAGCTACCCTCCAAGAATATTTCGGCTGCTTTGTTGGCTCCAATCTATACCTCACACCACCCGGTAGTCAAGGTTTCGCGCCTCATTACGACGACATAGAAGCGTTTGTGTTACAAGTCGAAGGCAAGAAAAGGTGGCGACTGTACAGGCCTCCTAACAAAAGTTACTTAGCGAGGTACTCCTCGAGAAACTTTGACGAGTCGGAAATCGGAGAGCCCATACTGGACACGATCCTTCAGGCTGGGGATTTGCTATATTTTCCACGAGGAACCATTCACCAGGCTGAAACCGCCGACGATACTCACAGTTTGCACATTACACTGAGTGTATATCAGAAGAATAGTTGGTACGACTTTCTCGAGAAGCTGCTTCCGCTAACTTTGAAGCGAGCGGCCGAAAGCAACTATAATTTTCGCACAGGACTGCCTTTGGATTATTTAAAATATGTTGGTACTGCGCATTCTACGAGCAACGGACAAGCCAGGAAAATTTTCGAGGAAAAGATCAAGACTTTTTTTGGTTTATTGATAGACTACATCGATGTAGATAGCGCGGCTGATCTGATGGCCAAGAGTCACATTCACGATTTTCTACCGCCTGCTCTCACCTTGGAAGAACAACAATGTTCAGTAGCCCGAGACGGTGATATCATGACTCAAAACGGGAATGTTAAACGTTGTGTGCAAATAGAATCTGATACGATGATACGTTTAATAAGGTCGCATTGCATAAGGTATTTTACTCAAAGATCATAATTTAACGCGAAAAATGCACATAAGTGCAAATTGTTCGAGACGAGGTGATATATAATTATTATTGGTATTGTTAGGTTGATGAAAGAAGAGGATGGTATATTTCGGATATATTACTCCACTGAAAATTCTAAGGAATATCATGAATATGAACTGCAATTTTTAGAAGTCGACGAAGATTTCGTTGCTGCCGTTAAGGAAATAATAAGATGCTACCCTAAATTTATACGTGTGAGGGATTTGCCGATTGAGTATGAAGAGTACAAAGTAAAAAACACCGATACTTCATATTTAATGCTGTTTGTGTTATATAATATGCTTCACGGTTAATATAATTAATACTTTACAGATCCAAATAGCGAAAGATCTTTGGGAAAAGGGTCTTCTTATAACGGACATTCCTCGACGTAATAGCGCGAGTAAGAAGAATAAAAAGAATTCGATAACCAAAAAGGAATTATTGAAACGGTAGAAGTAACACATGTAGGCTAAATCTATCTATTTGAATCTATTGTCTAAGAATACGTTGCGTGTTCGTTGCTCTTTTCATTTACATTCGACAAACAATATTTTAGTATATACTGCAAATAAGACATCAAAAATAATAAAATTTGATATATATATGCATAAAGTTCCTTATCTATGCGTGTATGTACGTGCGTGTATGTACGTACATATACACGTATACATAATGTACATATATAATATAAATTTTACTTATATGCCGACTGAATGATGTGTGTACGCGTGAACATACATTTACAATGATAATACGTAATGTAAGTTTTATTTGTATTTCAGTTAATGGAAATTTTTATTTTATTCCGATTTCGAATTTGCTGCGTTTCTCTTGCGCATTTTGATTCCTTTTTTTGCCTATTACATATTCGACGTACTCCAAATATCCATCGTTATTCACATCGTCTTGGTCCAACGCTCTGTCTATCAGGCCTAAAGTAATTAAAAATATTTTTATTGCGTTTGTATAAAAGTGTGTCGGCAATATATATTCTTTCGCATCTTTTTTTAATGTAATCATTGATTTTTATCAAACATACCTACGATCGACGGCAAGTCGTGCTTATCTTTCTTATTATCGTCATCGTCTTCAAGTTCCTTCTCGTGTAAGGTATGTTGTACAGCATGAAGAATCTCTAAGCCGTCTAACTTTATATTATTGTCGAAATCATGGACTCTATAAATTGCAGATATATTACAAACTAGTCTGATATAATTTATTGAAAATAAGCGAGAAAATAACTTTGATTTTCTAACATACTTAAAATAGTGAAACTCTATTTCTTGGTCAGTCATTTTTGAAAAGTCAAGTTGATTGGCCAACGGACCCAGGTCTTCTTTCAAGTGTCTAATAAATTCATATAAATTATTTATATTATACATTATTTATAAACTTACTTAAACCAGAATTTATTTGTAAACTTATTAATTAGTTTATTAATCGCTTCATCGACCACTCACGTGACATCATGAAGGAGCTCGGAATCCTCTGTTAATTTGACTTTGTTTCGCGGCGTATAATGATGATGGGAAAGAGTACTTTTAGGATGATGCGGCCCACGAATACTATTTGTGCATGACACTAATAGGCTAATCCATAAACCAATTAAGAATATTTCTCCCATTTTGCAATCCTGAAAGAATTGTAATATCCTGAAGGCAGCAGTATTTTTTACATTATACTAAGTAAAGATATAACTTGAAAGGTACAACAACAAGGTTTTGCATAAGAGTTATGTTAGATAAATTATAGCGTGCAAAATTGCAGTAATAAATCATATCGCTTAACAAAGTGTGAAATTTCAGGATATTTCTATGAAAAAGAGAGAAAAAGGGAAAGAATCTTGTGTCGTTTTATAAGAGAAAAAGCACTGTAATGAAACAATTAGATTATAATGTCCGGAAACTGTGACCTATAAAAATACACATAAGATATATATATTTTTTTTTAATAAATAGGCTTTTAAAAAATTGCTCGTTTAAGTACTACGTGTCCGATTTGCAATTAATTATCGACACATCTCACCAACGTCTACTAATAGCACGGTATCTCCTTGATTTCAACGCATAGGAGAACGATCGGCGCAATTAGTGAGCTAAAGATTGAAATACGGATATCGCAGTTGACGAATCGTATCGCGATCGCGTCTGCAGTTTGGAAAGAGTAGGGACTGTTGAGGGGGTACTCTCCGCGACATTCCGAACGATGACCATCGACAATGGGACCTGCTGGGACACGTTCATCGAGTGTATCGCCGTGGTGGTGATGCCTACTGCTCCTTCCGAGGGTTGAACACCCCGCCGGTCGCGACAGATGGGCGGTAGAGGGGGTCCTACGTAATTATTATGCGATTACCCACAAGCCCATTGATTTAGATTGGACCCCAGGGGGCGTGCTGCGCGCGATCGTGGGCCCGCTGCGATTTGTTACAAGACCTACGTTCGAAAAGTTCAAAGTGCTCAAGTGCAGCGGCGCGTCTCGGATCTTCCGCGGTAGTAGCAGAACCCGAAGAGAAGCACGTAACCAGCGGCCAAATTGAAGCGAACCGATCGATCAATCACACAATCGAGAATCTCGACAAAACGCTCTTTTACACGTTCTCGATACATTGCAGAATGAGACCTCAGTTAGCTCGTTTGTAGCTCAAGTTTTACCCGCTTACGCATCTTTACGCTGAACCGGAGATACAAAAGGAGGAGGAGATCTCGTGCTCGGCGTATTCGTGATAAGTGAAGATTCGCAACAATTCATAACACTTCGCGAAAGTTCAATCTTCCGCCTAACAACATCCTCTCTCCATCCTTCTCCCTCACGCCGCGAACCGGTCGCGCTTAAAAATCGTCAGATGTCGCCAACGTAAAGTACGCGCTCGTTTGAATTGTTCGAATCGAGCAACGGCGGTCGCGATCGCGAGCGAATATGGCGGCGTTGTGCTGCCGATCCGGCGCGGTGTTCCCGATATTATTCGCTTATAACAAGAATCGCCAGGAGCGAAGACCGACGTAGGTGTTAAGAGACACGACACCAGGCGAGGCGAGGCGGGAGGCGGCCGACACGAATGCGGGGTACTTAGGAATCAATTTTATATGGGGCTTATACGGCGGTCGAAGCGAGAATGCATATGCTGAGGGGTACCCCCGAGGGGTTTCCGACGCGCGCGAGCGCGGACCCCCTAGGGGGTCCCGCGCACCCCAATTCGTAGTCGGTCTCCCGTCCGGTCTCTGTCTCTCCGGTGTCGAAATCTATAAATAATTTATATCATTTGGCCCATTCAACGGAGAGAGAGCCCATATGTACCTGCGTCTCGCCTTACAGGGGACCTGCGGGGGCTGTTCTCGACGCGTTTCTCTCCTTCGCCACGCAGAATGGGACCGGCAAGGATCTCTCTCTCTCTCTCTCTCTCTCTCTCTCTCTCTCTCTCTCTCTCTCTCTCTCTCTCCCCTCCTCCCTTTCCCGCCTGTACGTCGTATACGCCGGGTGCGCGGATAAGCTTTACGGATTTGACACTAATGGCTTGGCCGGGAGCGACGTGTCGTCGGCGGAGATTGGCCGCGTGCAGGTGCTAACGAGATTTCGCGCGGCTATGCGGGACTCGGTGTCTCTCGCGCGCCTCTCTCTTTTCCTGGTATTTATATCATTTATTCGTAATTAGCGGGAACACAACGAGCGGGAACGTCGGTTATTGGCTGTCGAAAGTACGGCAATCGTCCGCTCAGACAGATGCGATCCGTTGGTGCCCCATCGAGATCTTGGGATACCGTTCGTATTGGTTGTGAATTTTATAGCTGTTTGTTTCTCTTCTTTGCGGAGATATTTTTATACGCTACTCTGTGCAGACTCGCGAGAGAACTTTAAACACGAATATACAAGCGGCTAATGTTCCGCTTATCGCCGCGTATATATATTCGCGCGAATATACATTTGTTTCACGATTTACGTTTTGTTTAAACATAACACGATGTGCTACATTCGCACGCGAGATATTTCTTATGATATACCGACCACAGTTACTGTGATATGCGGGTCGTCGAGACAAATGTCTCACTCATCGGCGACGAGTTATCCGTCGTTGGCAAAATCGCGCGGATATCCGTTACATCGCGGGGCAAAATTGCGCCGACCGTTTCATTCGCCGCGAGATTCATCGATTCGCGCGTTCCTCGCTCGCGATCGTTCGCGATCGTTCCTCTCAGCCATCCGGAGAGCACACTCGCCTACTCGCCCTGGCTATAATCTCGAACATGCTATTCGGCATCGCGACAACGGTGGCTAAAGGGTGGCAGTCAAAGCCCCGGGCAGGGGTTTAGTCAGGTTAGGTTGTCCTAACCTCGGACGAAAGAGACCGAGGCTTCTGCGGCGCTCGGCTGTTGTTTCGAAATTTCGCGCGAGGTGGCGAGATGCGCTTTACCTGCATGGTGCTTTTTCCCTGCTTCCGACGTGGCGGCCGATCAATATGATGCGTTCTGGATGACGAATATCAGACCTGCAACACGGACTCGATCGATCGATTCGATCCACCCTTCGCGCTCCCTCGATCTTTGTACAACGCGCCGTTTTCAACCCTCTCGCTACCGACTCGTCGTCGTCGTCGTCGTCGTCGTCGTCGTCGTCGTCGTTGT